AGCAGCGCCCGTGCACGCTGCGCGCAGCACGCGGCAGGCTGCTGGCCGAGCCGAGCCGACTGCCGGTCCAGTCGACCCGCAGTCCGGTCTAGACCGGTTTGGACCGGCTGGACCGGTTCAGCCCTATTTAAACCGGTTCGGTTCTTATGATTAAGGTTTCAGCCCGGTTCATGATTTTAATGAGATTTTCAGTTAAATTTCGGGATTATTTCAGTTCAGTAAATTCATGTCTGATCAGTTTATGTCAGTTCAGTCTCAGTCATTCCGGTTAAGTCTAAGTATCATGTCAGGTTAAGTAGAGCATCTTAACGAAATTTATCAGTTAAGTTAACAGTCTGAGCATAGTCATTAGTAATTGTTTATATTATTTTAAGTTTGATCAGGCATCAGCACTACCACTCAGTTCAGCAGTTCAGGTGGGGACTCAGACTAAGTACTACATTGATTATAATTACGGTACCATGTTTGAGGTATGTATTTCATGTCATGTATCCGCTCGGAATGGTCGCCGGTCCATTCTGGGTTCTAGTGGCCCTAGTCTGCCCACAAGAGTGTGCACATGGTGTCCGATATTAGTTTGTGCCGGCAGATGAGGTAACGGTCATGGTTCACGTTTACGTGACGATTTCTGATTCATGTTCATGTTACTACCGGCTTGAGGTTGGGGTTGAGGTTATGTATATACTGATATCATGATGTTGTTATTATTTTCAATGTTTACATTAGTATGAGTTTCCACGGAGCACAGTGCCATAGTTCTCATTTCCCACTTTTATCACGTTTTTTTGGTCAGGACGTCCGGCCGGGAGCATGAGTTGACGGAGGCTTCAGGACATTTATGTTTTTTACTGTATATTGATGATGATGACTTACGCTTCCGTTGATGATGTTTTCGATGACTTTTGATGAACTTATCTTTTGACGAACTTTTGGGAAACTTATGCTTTCAATAACCGGATGATTTTATTAAAACTTAAAATTAACGGTTTTCCAAATTAAGTCACGATTTTAAGGTAGCACCCCGAATCAGTTTTCGCAAAGTAAAAGGCTTTATTTTTAAATAACTTTGCGAATTTTTCGCACTCTGATTTAACGATAAGGAGGGGTGTTACAATTGGTATCAGAGCACGTTTCTGCGTCTCTGACAAGTTTTTCTCAGTTAGTAATTTTTCAGAAAAACCTGAACCGTCATGCTCACGCCCCGCCGACGACAGGTAAGTGCTGATTCAGTTTTTCAGTTATAAACATATTACTTTGTCTATGCTCAGAATTAAGGATCAGGACTTTAGTTAAGATGCTCGAATCAGGATCGGAATTTAGACTTCAGGACTTTCAGACATGACTCTAGACATTAGGATTTTCCTATATGACTCTAGAGTTCTTCAGGATTCACGTCAGTATTTATTGGCCACTTTTGGCGACTCGTCAAGAGATTTGTGTGCCTCAGTAATCAGTCAGAATGTTATCACGTATTCAGTAATGTTAAACTTTCTTAATGTTCAGATGCCGCCACGTAGGGAACCCGATCATCAGGCTCCTACTCAGGCTACGGTAGTCGCTCAGTTCCGCGACTATCACGCCGAAAAGTTCTTAGGGCAGGGAAATCCCCGCATCGTTGATGAATGGATTCAGGGCTTAGAGTTTATCTTTGAGGTCATGGAATGCCCTGATAGGTATCATGTAGTTTGCGCTCAGCTTCAGCTCACTGGTGATGCAAGGCTCTGGTGGAATGCCTACTGGAGCATGCGTCCCGATGAAAAAGCGGGTTGTACATGGGACATGTTCAAGGATCTAGTCCGCGAAAAGTATTACCCCTCCTATTATCGGGCAGAGATGGAGCGTCAGTTCTTAGCGCTCCAGTAGGGCACTCGTACAATTGATGAGTACGAGTGAGAGTTCACTAGACTTGCAGCTTTCGTACCGGATCTGGTTCGCACGGAGGCTCAGAGAGCGCAGCGGTTCATCGACGGGCTTTTCCCAGCAGTCCGTCACAACATCGTGGGACACGGGACTCAGACCTACGCTCGTGCAGTTTCTATCGCCCAGGAGGTGGACGCTAGCATCAGGAGGGAGGCAGTTCGTGATCGTGCCCAGCCATCCGCCCCAGTTCAGCCATTCGCAGCTCCACCAGCTCTACCAGCCCCTCAGCCGGCAAAGGAGAAGAAGAGGAAGGGAAAGGGTACACAGACTGACCGGAGGACCCGACAGAGACAGCCGCCAATTCCACCGTGCCCGACTTGTGGTCGACTTCATAGGGGAGAGTGCTATGTGGGACAGGACATCTGCTATTACTGCCATGAGCCGGGACATTTTGCGAGTCACTGTCCGAAAAGACTCCAGCAGCAGCCTTCGCAGCCTCAGCAGCCACCACAGCAGCAGCAGCCACGTCAGCAGGCACAGAGACCGCCTCAGCAGCAGCAGCAGCAGCAGAGGGGCAGGCAGCAGGCCAGGGTTTACGCAGTTGAACAGGCAGAGGCAGCACAACAGCCAGGTACTATGTCAGGGATGGTCGTTCTCAATGATATTCCTGTTTTCGCTTTGTTCGATACTGGAGCAACACATACTTTCATTTCACGACGATGTCTCGATGCCATCGGAGTTCACGCCATTACCGCTGTCGATCCTCTCGAGGTGAGTTTAGCCTCGGGACGAAAGATAGTGACCTCAGCTAAAGCCTCAGATCTTAGCCTTTCCATCGGTGGCCGAGTATTGACTGCCGACGCATTTGTTCTTGAGATGAAGGACTTCGACCTTATTCTCGGGATGGATTGGCTATCCTTCTATCATGCAGACATCAGGTGTCATGACCGGGAGATCACTCTCTATCTTCCGGGAGACGAATCGATCACTTTCTTCGGTTCCAGGAATCGTTCATTGCCTCATGTGGTTTCGATGGTGAAAGCCACTAAGTTATTGCGATGAGGCAACTGCCAGGGTTATCTGGTGAGCCTTGTCGACGATTCTCAGAAAGCGCGAACACCTCATGATGTTCCAATCGTTCGCGAGTTTGTGGACGTGTTCCCAGATGAGCTTCCAGGAGGACCGCCTAACCGTCAGGTGGAATTCTCTATCGATCTCATTCCAAGGGCCGGACCAGTATCGAAAGCCCCATATCGTATGGCGCCTAAGGAGTTGCAGGAGCTTAAGACCCAGATTCAGGAGCTATTACGACTCGGTTTCATCCAACCGAGCGTGTCACCTGGGGGAGCACCCGTTCTCTTTGTTAAGAAGAAGGACGGATCCATGCGTATGTGTATCGACTACCGGGATCTTAACCGGTTGACGATCAAGAACAAGTACCCGCTTCCCAGGATCGACGATTTATTTGATCAGCTGAGGGGAGCCTGTGTGTTCTCGAAGATTGACTTACGATCAGGCTACCACCAGCTGAAGATTAAGGAGTCAGATATCGCTAAGACCGCTTTCAGGACTCGTTACGGCCATTACGAGTTCGTCGTCATGCCTTTCGGTCTCAGAAATGCGCCAGCTGTTTTCATGGACATCATGAACCGTATTTTCCATCCCTACCTCGATCAGTTCAGTATTGTCTTTATTGACGATATTCTTATCTACTCGAAGAGTCAGAAGGAGCACGAGGAGCATCTGAGGGTGGTTCTCCAAACCCTCAGACGAGAAAAGTTGTACGCCAAATTCTTTAAATGCGAGTTCTGGCTCCAGCGAGTATCCTTTATGGGTCATGTGATTACTCAGGCAGGTATCGAGGTGGATCCTTCTAAGGTCTCAGCCGTTCAGAACTGGTCGACACCGAGGAGTCTGTCCGAGGTTCGCAGTTTTCTCGGTTTAGCTGGTTACTATCGCAGGTTCATCGAGGGCTTCTCTAAGATTGCCCTCCCTCTATCCCAGCTGACGAGGAAGTCTGTGAAGTTCGAGTGGACTGACCGATGTGAGGCGAGCTTTCAGGAGCTCAAAAGGAGATTAACTTCAGCACCGGTGTTGACTATTCCCGATCCTTCTCGGAGTTTCACTATCTTCAGCGATGCTTCAAGACAGGGCTTGGGATGTGTCCTTATGCAGGACGGCCAGGTCGTCGCGTATGCTTCACGTTAGCTTAAGCCTCATGAGCAGAATTATCCTACGCATGACTTGGAGTTAGCAGCAGTCGTTCATGCTCTAAAGATCTGGCGACACTATCTTTATGGCGGACGTTGCAAGATTTTTACAGATCATAAGAGCTTGCAGTACATCTTCACACAGAAGGAGCCTAATATGAGGCAGCACCGTTGGCTCGAACTTGTCAAGGATTATGACTGCTCTATTCAGTATCATCCGGGGAAGGCAAACGTTGTCGCAGATGCCCTAAGCCAAAAGGTGAAGGGTGACTTGACGTACGTCATTACTCAGCAGAGTCCGTTGATTCAGGAGTTTGCCCGGATGCAGCTTCAGGCGATCGACGCACTTCCCATAGCCGTTTCGGGGAGTACTAGTGCCAGTGTCAGTGCCATGCAGCTTCAGCCGACGCTGAGAGAGAGAATCCGGCGAGAGCAGGCTTCTGACGAGTTTGTTCGTGTCATGGAGGCCAAGGTTCGCGCTGGAGGCGTCGAGGGTTTTCAGCTAGGTGCCGATGGTGCCTTAGAGTTCAGAGGCATGATCGTGGTCCCGAAGGTCGATGCGTTGCGGAAGGAGATTTTATCAAAGGCACATACCGCACCCTATTTGGCCCATCCCGGGAGCACGAAGATGTATCACGACCTGAAAGGGTCGTTCTGGTGGCGCGGCATGAAGAAGGACGTCGCCGAGTTCGTCAGGAGATGTCTTACCTGCCAGCAAGTCAAAGCCGAACATCAGAGTCTGATTGGCCTCCTGCAGCCACTGCCGATTCCAAGGTGGAAGTGGGAGGAAGTCACGATGGATTTCGTTATGGGATTACCGAGGTCGTCTGAACATCACGACGCTATATGGGTCGTGGTCGACAGATTGACTAAGGTCGCTCATTTCTTACCCGTTTCGATGAAGATGTCTCTGGACAAGTTGGCTGATATATATACCCGTGGGATCATCCAACTCCACGGAGTGCCCATTATGATCGTATCAGACAAAGATCCCAGATTCGTCAGTCGATTCTGGCACAGTTTACATGAGGCGATGGGCACAAAGTTAGAATTCAGTTCAGCCTACCATCTGGAGACGGACGGTCAGTCAGAGAGGACTATTCAAACACTTGAGGATATGCTGCGCGCTTTGGTTGTTGACAGGGCTGCTAAGTGGGAGTCGTTGTTGTCGTACGTAGAGTTCGCGTATAACAACAGCTATCATTCTTCTATTCAGATGGCTCCTTACGAGGCACTTTATGGTCGCAAGTGTCGTTCCCCTCTCTATTGGGACGACGTTGGAGAGCGGCGAGTACTCGGTCCTAAGATGATCGAGAAGACAGCAGAGCAGGTCGAGTTGTTCCGACAGAGATTCAGGACAGCTCAGAGTCGACAGAAATCTTCCGCCGACCATCATCGACGAGACATTCAGTTCGAGGTTGGTGAGCCAGCCTTTCTCAGAGTTCGTCCGATTCGCGGAGTTGTGCGATTCAGAAAGAGAGGGAAGCTGCACCCTCGATTCATCGGTCCGTTCGAGGTTCTCGAGCGAGTAGGCGAGGTCGCGTATCGATTAGCCCTACCTCCCGAGTTATCAGGCATTCATAATGTTTTCCACGCATCGATGTTACGTAAGTACGTGTGCGACCCCGATCATGTCATTCCTCACACGGATATTCAGGTTCAGCCAGATCTATCGTACGAGGAGCGACCGGTAGCTGTACTAGACCGTCAGGTTCGTCGGCTTCGGAAGCGAGATATTCCCCTCGTGCGTATTCAGTGGGATCGCCATGGAGCTACTTGGGAGGAGGAGTCCGATATTCGTGCTCGTTTCCTAGATTTTCAGTTTTGATGTATATATTTTCCTATCTTATGTACATAGTTCATGTATTTTCAGTTATGGTTTGAATTTCCGAGGATAGAAATTTTGTAAGGAGGGAGGATTGTAATATCCAGATATTTTGTCGGTATAAATTATGTTTTAAATTCCGATATAGTAATGTTAACGTTTAGTACTTTCGGAATTAATTATGTTCAGTCGAGATTACCGAAATTTATTTTCGACGTACCGTTTACGTTCGGAATAATTTTGGTAATTAAGCATTATGTTTAATTATTTAATTAAACATAAAATAAGGGATTAATGTTAAATAATCCTATCAATTAGGACATGCATTAGGGCGTAAGTAAACCGTGCGGGAATTATAATTTCAAAACTTTTCTAAGTGTGTTCCTAAGGCTTAAGAAATCTTTCTCCTCCATCCATTAGCTATCACACGTGTTACTAGGAGGAGTAAAGTGTGGAGGTTAGTCATCAAAAAGCATGCTAATTAAGAGCAAATGTCAAGTCCTTAAGAGGCCACGTCCTATGCACATCATCACCCCAAAATTGGGAGCTTTCCACGGCCTTAGTATATATAGGCTTGTTCGGTCCGAATTTTTCCCAACTTTCCCTCTTATATATACAAGCCATAAACTCTTATATTTAGCAACAAATAGTTCAAGCAATTCTTCTAAGCTTCCATTGCATCACGCACGACAACATCATAGCATCGCACGACACATACCGAAGCAACGCGCGGCGCACACGCGAGAACTAACGGAGGTCGCGATCGATTTGTAAATTCCGACAAGCACCTAAGAAGGTATTGTTATCCTCATCTTGTAATCATGTTAGTAAGACCATAATGGGGTTAAGTGTTCGAGTTATATTCAGAAATTGTAAGAAAGTTCATGTTATGTTCGGTTAATGTCATATTTAAGACAAGACCTCATTACGTCCGTTTCATTATGATAAGTCCCGAGTGTTTATTGGTTCTTTAGCCCTTATTAAGTGTATTATGTTAGGTCAAGTGGGATTTGTTGAATAAAGTAGAGGTTCGGTCGAGAATTTGGCTTAAAGCCAAGGACCGCACGTGGTGTGCGTGTCACGGCCGCTCCGTGTTATTTCTCATTATGGTCGGATTTGTTCGAGTAATTCATGTTTAAATAATCAAGTTAGGTCATTTTATGTTCAGTGGTTCATGATTGTTCAAGAGTTTTTCATGTTTGTTGAGGAGCTGGTCATAGGCCGTAAGCCTCGCACGTAGCGAGCGCACCGCGGCCATGTGTTTAGTCTGATTAAACAAGTTCAGCAATTTCTATATAAGTTCAGTATATTAGTCATGTTAAGTCATGTGATGTGGTTTTACGTTGAAGTTGTCGGAAAGAAATGCCGAACGGTCGGCAAGGGTCGGCCTTAGGCCATGCTGTCCGCACATAGCGGCAGCAACGCCCAGCCAAGCGCGCCAGCATGCGGTACCGCGCGTCAGCGCGCGAAGTCGCGCGACAGCGGGCCGCATGGTGCCAGTTAAGTT